GAGAGTTAATTCATGTGTGCTAGAGGGGCTACTCACAACTTGGATACCATGCTCTACTCAGCTAACTTCAGTGAAATCTTATATTAGGTGTATCATAGCTTTTTTGTTTTGTCAAGATGGCTCTTGAATGTGCGGCTCTGAAACTCGTTTTGCTGGTGTTAGGCTGTCAGATAGGAATAGGTGATCAATCAACAGCTGCCTGTCTGTTTATCTACACAAGAAACACTTGTTTATAGATGTGTTGTTAGGTTTCCTATAGTATCAGACATAATTCCATGGCGACAGAAAAGTGCTATAGTCTTTTTATAAATCTACTGAATTCCTAGTAGCTCTTGCATTAGTTATCTCTGGGAACTGGTACAAGGGATAATGCTGGATGATTAAATTCAAAAATAAGCAAACAAAAAGGAAATTATTTATTTTTTTAAATAAAATGTTTTTACAAGCCTCTTAAGTCACAGCTAATTTAGGTCCTGTGATGTTTTTCAAAGTGTTCCCTATGAACTGTGGACAATATGTGAAAGGGAAGGCTGTTTGCTGAACATTCATTTAGAGACATTAAATGCATCCTGGTCTGTAGTCCAAAGCTGAGATTCTTTCCATGTTTATCTCTTTTTCAGTAAATAGAATTTCTGTGATGCAGTGAGCCCCTTGACAGCCGTGAAAATACCTGCTTTCTTCAGGAAGCTGGCACAGCTGAAGATGAGCAGGATCATTTCAGCTTTGTGTCGCTTCAGAATAAGTGGGATCCTGCTTAGTCTTGTTAGCTGAGCTTAACATGTCAAGGCCAACAACTACCAAAATAAGTAAATAAATGAGGATCGAGGGGATAGAGAAGGGCTAGAAGCAGAAAGGCAAGTGGGACATGGTTAAGTACAGATTAAAGTTTGCTCAGGCCTAATTTAGGGGTCATCAGCCCTCCTGTGTTATGCTTGGAAATATCAAAAATGTATTCAAGGTGCTTTCTTTTTAAATGGAGCATGACAGCTTACCTATCTAGCTAGCTTAACTAGCTTAGTAGAGTTTTTGTAACAAAGTTTTCCTCTTTCCTTGAATGTAACTTTTAAATCTTTTCTTGTAATTGAAATCATGATTTACTTTACCAAAAATACTACTTGCAACATCAAGTGGAGCTGGTTTCTGAACAAAGCCAAAGTTTAACAAATTGTGGGCAAAGAAACAAAAGGAAGTTCAGACAGCTGCCAGTGTGTGCACTTTGGTTCTAGTTTGGGAAAGAACATAGTTCACAGAAGAATCTACAAAACTGCCAGTACCCTGTTCACCACCAGAAATATGTCAGACCTAGGTTTTGCAAGTGTTCTCATTTAAAAATGACAGTCAGAAGCTAAGAGTTGTTTGCATGTTTGTGCATGGAGGTGATAGGTAGCCTCTGTGCTCTTCAGTTGAAATGGAAGAATAGACCTTGAATATCCACTTTCCTACTCCTTGATTTTATGACCGATATTCCATACAGATTAAGGAAAATATCATTTTGTATCCCTGGAAGTGCATGTATGCAAGATATTTGGGGAGCTGGAAGCTCCTCAGCTACCTGTAACTCTGCATGCTGGATTCTTTCAGGTCAGTCACAAAATCTGTGTGTGCATGGTGCTGTGATGGATCAAAGTCCAATGATATGCAAATTTTGCTGTTTACTAGCAAGCCTTCTCAAAGACAGTTTTGTAATTTATTTTTTTTTTGCATAGTGTTGTCTTGATGGAGGTGGGATCTCACTGGTTGGTAGAGAGATAATTTGAAGGATTGCACTGTATATGAAATACACTTCTGAACAGTATGCCTGCATATAGTTGAAACAGTTAGAAATCCTATGAAGGGCTTATTTAATTTTTGTTTAGTTAAGCTCTGTGGAGAGCCATCACAGTAACATCCTGGATTACTTGGCAGGCTGAGACATCTGCTGGCACTTCCGAGGTGTAGGCTACGGCAGTGAGGTTTCCTATTGCATCATGCTGAAATGTCTCCAAAACATAATGGTATTTAGTAGTAAATGCCATTGTATAGAGATGAAACTGTATGAAATTCAAGATTGCAGGCTTTGTCTTCAAAAAGCTTGAGGATCTTAAGGATCTTTTGCTCCTGCAAAAGTTTTATAGCAAGACTGAGGGCTATTATCAACAGTGCTGCACCCGTGGAGAAAAGGAGCTGACAGAGAAGTGAAACCAGATTCTGGACTTCAGTGCAGCATATTATTAGGAGAACTCTATATGCACCTTGTCAGTGCCTTTCCTGTTAGAAATTGAATTTAGGAGTGTAATTGATATACTTAAATGCCTGCTAATGGTAATTTAATGCTTTAAACTATGTACTTGTTTTGCTTAGTGTTTTGCATGAAGGACCTCATTTTGTGCATATTAACCTACATAGGACACCTTTGCAACTATATGCTTATTCAGGGATAGCTTGAGATGACTCTTAATCATTCCTCCCCTGTTAGAATCACCTGAAAACTTAACGATCTTGCAGGCTAATAGCTTTGTCTAAATTGTTAATAAATTAGCAGCCTCAGGGACCAAGCCATATGGACTTCCACTGAATAAATGCCTCGACTTTCTTCCCTTTCTGCTTTTCACCATGCTAAACAATTGCTGTTAGTTGCTGTAATTTACTCCGACTCTGTGGTCAGGGTCTGTCTTTTATGTCTCCTACATCCAACCCCTAAGCTTTTACTTGACAGCCATCTGACACCCTACAGGTCAGTACTTTAGATGAATGATAAAATTTAAAAGCCTTGTAATTCGGCCTCTCCCTCTTTATGCTCCTGCTTCTGTGGTTCCCTTGTGATTGCTCAAGAAGTGTTTTCGATATGTCCTCTCCAAAGAGGATAAGAATCTGGAGGATGGAATGAAATTTAAATTGCAGCTCTGTCTCGAGATCACTAAAAATAGCAGGAAAATTATTGTAGACTTTGTCCAAGAAAAGCAAAGCTTAGATTTTTGAAAATGCATCAACTAGCTGACATTCAGAGAAGATGGTGTAACCTAGTGAAGGTGAGTCTTAGTAGTAGTGTAGTAGCTGTTAAATAGAAAAATTGAGGGATATTACCATAAATAATTGAAAGGAAGAAACCTGTTTTTGGGGTGGCTTTTTTCCTTTCAGTTTTGGTGGTTTTTTTCTCTTTTTTTTTTTGACGTGTTCAAACCTTGAAATCCTCTCGAGTACATTCTAAGTAAAGGCTAAGTGTCTGTTACCTAGTGAAGGTGAGTCTTAGTAGTAGTGTAGTAGCTGTTAAATAGAAAAATTGAGGGAAATTACCATAAATAATTGAAAGGAAGAAACCTGTTTTTGGGGTGGCTTTTTTCCTTTCAGTTTTGGTGGGTTTTTTTCTCTCTTTTTTTTTTACGTGTTCAAACCTTGAAATCCTCTTGAGTACATTCTAAGTAAAGGCTAATGGCTGTTGCTTTATAGTAAAGAGCCTACTGACTTGCAGTGAGAAACATGGTGTTTCAGGTCACTAAACAGAGCTCAGGCGTAGGGGCATGACCAGAAACCTGTTTAATTCTGAGCAGGTCTTTTGTTCACCCAACACTGAGAATGGAGGTCATCAGCATCCCAATTCAATTGCCATGTAAATGCCATGTTCAGATCTTATTATGGCTATCAGGGCATGTTGTTGGTGGACAGAAATTGAATGATGCTGTTTTAGATTATATCCTCAAGAAATGTGATATTTGTACAAAATCTTTTATGGTATCTAAAAGAAAATAGTGCAGCTGGTTGCAAGCTGCTTCTGCTGGTTCATTTACCTAGAAAACATGGCAAAAGAATAGGTATTAGAAAACCCAGTGTGTTTAAGCTGCAAAGCAGTGTGTGTTTGCCAGCTCCATCGTTTGTCTCTACTTTCCATCCCTATCATGAAGAGTTTTGTGAGACAGAAAGTTTGCAGGCAGCAGTGTTATGTTTTGCCAGGCTAGTTGATACAGCTGGAAAATGAGGGCACATTTTTGGCTGCACAAAGCTCTGTTTGGTCAGGAGTAGCTGTTCAGGCAGTGGCTGTGCTGTAACCAGAAGCAGATATCGATGTGTGTGTTCGTCAGCCTGCTGAACTCCTGATAGGGAGTGATGTAACTTGTGGCTAGGGAGTAATTACAGTGCTCTGCAAGAGGAGTTCAGAGAGTGGTTAGTGCAAAGGGCTTGCAGAGTTCTCTTGTCTTGCAGAGTAATTATGATCGTTAAGGAGGAATGATTCAGCACAAGTTACTTATTTACAGTGAGGTAAGGTGGCGTATATAGAAAGGTTGGTGCCCTTTTTAGGGACTGATGTTCCTCCAGCCAGCCACACCACATCCTTGGTTGATTTAATTTGTACTCTTTAAGGTAGAAGTCTATGTATCACACTGCAAAAGCAAGGATACAGATAGATCTTTTTATATGAAAGTTGCTGGACTGCCCTTCAAAATACCATATCACAAAAATACGGTAGGATTTTTAACAGGATGTAATAATCACTTGTATAATGATGTATTCCAGGACTGCAGCACTGTCTTAGTTTTTTCTCTTTTACATTATTCCATCTTGCAAAGTATTTATTACAGTGTTGGACAATCTAAACTTGATACTTTGCCAAGCCAAACTGAGGTATTTGGAAGTGATATGCTTTGGAAATATATGGCAGTTTATCAGTAAGTGAAGTGGTGCTTCACATTAGTGTTGTCATTATTAAAAATCCCACCAAATTCTGGTTACACACACACATATGTGTATAGAGAGAGAGAGGGAGAGAGAGAGAGTAAATACTGTAATATTTATTCTGTGTCCATAGCTTTTCTCCATGGAAGACAAAACAAATCTCCATTGCTGGCTCTTGCTTGTTGTGGTTTTCTACTCTAAGAGAAATACATTATTTCTGCAATAATAATTTGCACTGTAAAAATGTAGTTAAATAATTATGTTACAATTTTACTGAAATGTAGTCTTTGTTCTTACCATTCCTTTGCTTGGGACTTCCAAGTGTGTTACATTGCCTTTATTTTGTCTTTCAGATGACGATGTGGACCTGGAAGCTTTGGTAAACGACATGAATTCCTCATTTGAAAGTTTATACTCTACATGCAGCATGCAGTCGGAAACCGCTCCGCTCCTCCAGAACGGCCAGCTGAACCGCAGCCAGCTGCCCTCCTCGGGGCCCAGCACCCTGCAGCCCATGTCCCCGAGGCAGAAGGTGCAGCGCTCCCAGCCAGTGCGCATCATGGCAGTCAGGTAGGGACATGGCACTCGCCTCCTTTTCCATAAGTTGTCATGAACTGACAAAAGAAAAAGAACTTCAAAAGACATATATTTTAAAATAGCAGGTCCACTTTGGTAAGGAACTTAATGTTATGCTGGCCTTTTGCATAGAAAAGTGTACTAAGTAGGTGAAGGGCATAATATTTCCATGTATTATCACCCTTCCTCTTGACATGGTTTGAGGTTTCTTCAGTCACTGATTTGTAGGAGTGTGTCATTGGTACCAGTTGGCAGAAGCTATATCCATAGTTATATTTTTTTCCGTACTGTTAAAACCAGTGCTTTCAAGTCTGGTGTCCACTGACAGTCTATAGGTTTTATTAAACGTAAGAGATCATGTAGATAGATGAAGGTAAGCACAACTACTTTTGATATACAGCAAGTGCCTCTCTCTATGTGGAGGTTTCCTGAATGGTTTAAGACCAACAAACAAAAGGGTAAGCACAACTACTTTTGATATACAGCAAGTGCCTCTCTCTATGTGGATTGTCTGAATGGTTTAAGACCAACAAACAAAAAAGGAGCATGTCTTAGTTATGTATCTGTTCTTCACAGAGCACTTTCAACTCACTCACTTGAGTGTGCTGTGTAAGTCATTACCAGAAAAAAGTGTTAAAGTTGTCCCCCTGTAGTAAGGCTGAGGACTGGAATTCAGGCTTCAAGTGGAAAACTCTTGATGGTGACAGGGGAGTACATATGTGGTGTACAGGTTCTTAAAATATTTTTAGACAGCAAGAGGAAGGGAGTTCCTGTCAGCATGAGTAGTCAAATTAATCTCTTTCCTGCTAGTTAACAATTTGTTCTTTGAAGGAAGTGAAAAGTAGTAATATAATAAAAGAAAGTGTAGAATGGGTGGCTGCTTATAGGAATGGTATATGTAAGACAGGCAGCTTTTCTATTTGAATGGATATGCAGTGCAGCTAAGTCAGCTACTGATGCCCTCATTACAGTTCTGCAGGTATTTCATAGTTAACCTCAGATGGGGCTGTATTGGGAAATGTACTCTCTGAAGTACTATAGCTGTTGATATTTTGTAAATATCTCAGTCAAAACACTTGAATTATTTTTGGTGTTTAAAAACTTAGAAACTCCTATTTTGAGAACACTCTGCCTTTTTTGAAATCTGTACTTCCATGCACACCAGGACATCCTGTGTTTATCAACATCAAGGAAGGTAATGGTGAAGCTTCTATTCAGGGTTATCTGGACCCATCTGGTTTGCCACCAGAACAGAGTGATTTGACTGTGGTCTCCTAGGAGCACAGGTTTATGTGTGTATCAGTTATGAAGTAAATGATCCACTGGCAGCAGTACAGGCGCAGCAGAGCACAGCACAGAGAACTACCAGCTTCAGGAAACCACACTTTTCTAATTGTATTGAGTCTTTGGTTCCACTTCTTACAGTGGAGGTCAGTCAAAAACTTGCAGCACAGCGCCCTGTTGCACAGATATGACATGTCTCCTGGCCTGAAAAATTTTACACTGTCCTTTTACCCTGTGCTGTAGAGAGCTGCACGCATGGGGAACACAAAAAAAAAAAAAATTAAGCAGGTCAAGTAGTTGTTGGCATAGTTCATAGGTACGGTTGGAACCTGCTATTTATTGCAACCTCCCAGATCTGTAAGACTCATTCATGGAATACCAAGGCAACTAAATTGCAGGACAAAGTTACCTGTGGAGCAGATTTCACAGTAGTTAAATTTTGCCATCCCCCAGCTAGAGGCAAAGACAATGCGAGTACCCAGAGTGGGAGATGCTGCCACGGGCAAACCCAGCAGTTGTCTCCCAGGCAGGTCTGTTATATAGGCCCTGCTTGCTGAAGGCATGCAGAAAAATGAGAGCAAACTGAGTTTTTAATGATTTGCTTTTCAAATTCAGGAGTTAGTTATTTGGAAACTTTCATGATTGCCACTAGATGGTGCCTTCTGCTTAGGCATTGAAGGGCAGCCTGCTGCAGTCAGCTAGTGCTTCTTCAGTGGTGATGCCCTGGCAGCAGGGAAACCAAAAGCCATCTGTGTAGTCACAAATAGGTCTTACAGCTTTTCTAGTAGGTTTTAGTTTTTCTTTTATTGGTGTGGGCACTGCAGGTGTACTGTAAACTGGAACTTGAAACTCTGTTACATGTAGACTCATGAGACATACTTTGGTGGATGCAAACTTGTCTGCACAGTAACTGTGTGGTGGTGGGAGGGTACAATTCCAGCTAATTGCTTATTGCTAAAGCCACCTCTTTGCCTTTTCATTTCTCTGGGAAATGCCGAGTTGCTTGGAGATAGAATCTGGTATTATAATGAGGTGACAATATTGGTTTAAGTCTCAGCTTAGAGAACTCTACAGTAGGGTACATGTTTGTTTCCAAATCCACTTGGAATTTGGCTCTGAGTGACTGCCATTGTTTTCTCCTCTTTCACATTGGCTTGGAAGAGCTTTACTGACTTTCTGGCACACACAGCTTAAGCTTGTAATCTAGTGCTTACAACAGTGAGAACAGATAGATATTTCTCTTTATTTTATTTGCACAGTTACCTCAGTTACTCACCCAAGTAATCAAGTTATGAGTAACAAAACAAGCATGGATGCCTGACTGGTCATTTTTTACATGCGATTACCTACTTTGCACTAGGAGTTGCTGTAACTGTATAGTAGTTACCTAGAAAAAGAGTGGGTTTGATTCCTTGTCTTTAGTGTCATTATCACAAACCCTGAGGCAGGAGAGCCAGGTCTAGTGATGCCACTTTGCTCCTCTTAATGCACAGTGCTTCTGTGTTTACAGGCGTCTTCAGGAAGAGGAGCAGCAATTCCGAACATCATCTTTGCCGGCCATCCCAAACCCTTTCCCAGAACTTTGTAGCCCCGCAAGCTCTCCAGTGCTGGCCCCTGGATCTTTACCTCAGAGTCAACCTGCTAGTAAGCATGTGAGTATGGGATGAAGCTTTGGGTCATCCATTCGCGTGCAAACCAGCAGTGGACTACTTCATTTTGAAGGCAGAAAGAAAGCTTCCAGATAAGTAAAAACACCTGTGGACTTTGTCTGTGAGTAGGGCAGCACTGGCCGAGAGAGTATCTTCAAGTAGGATTCAGACATTTTTTAAAAGGTTTGTAAGAAAGGTGTGTAAAAATTAAGTAAGCCTCTTTCAGATAAATGCATGTTGTGAATGGAGCAGTAATGCTTAATATCCTTCAGATTTTGTTATTCAGCCTAAATATTTACTAATTCTGAAGTCAAGTGAATTATCTTAGAGTTGGATGAGGATCTGTGCCTTTTATACTGCATATTCCAGGTGTCACAAAAACACTGACAAGCTGAATTCTTTAAAGACATGGTGGTGCTTTATTTGCTGTTTTTCATGAGCTGCTCAAAAAGAAAAGGCGTTCTTAGAGCTTATAACTAGGCACAGCTCATTGTAATGAGATTTAAGGAGAAGGTTGTTCCATGGAAAGCTGGTGGAGTAATTTTCTGGGTTCTTGGCAGTTAAGATAGCCCAGACTGAGCTCTAATGTGGTCCAGAGCAGTAACCTCAGTGACACAGAAGTTTTTCTTTTCTGTCCTACTCCGCCCTATAAGAAACAATCATCTTGTTTTGTTATCATTCCTCAAGCACACTTGAAGACTAAAGCTGGGTTTTTACCTTTATTTTGTAAACTGTGCTGACCTGCATGTGAATTAAAAAATGGGTTACTCTGACTATTGTCTTACAACAATTCTGTTCTTGAGTACCCAAAAATATGGAGAAGTGCCACTGCTCAGTTAGTTTGTAATTAGCTCCAACATACTGGGAGATAAAGGGCTTGGGTACAGCTACAAGCAGAGGACCCAAATGTGTGTTCTGTGTTGCATTACAGCGCCATAAACAGCTGCCTCCTGTCCTGAGAGACACAGTGCACCTCCACTGGTTTTACTGTATTTCTTACCCATACAAGACAGGCGGGTAACCAGATCATGCCCTGGGAAAAAATTGAGCCACCCCATTGGGAATTTAGCACAGGGCCCTGTCAGAGACCCAGGTACTGGCTAAGCTGTTGTGGCAAGGCAGTGTTGATGTGACTCTGGGGAGATAAAACCAGGGGCAATTCCGCCTCCTGGCACTTGCCAGCAGAACAGCAGCAGAGCTGTCTTTCTGAAATAAACTTCAGTTTCTGATGAACCTGTGTTTACCTCTCCAAATATTCCCCTGGTTCAGGGTTTCTTTGCCTTTTAGCTCTATGTTTTACTAAAATTACCCAAGCTACCCTAAACTTGGCTCAGTAAAACCTTAAAGAACCCTAAATGATCTGTGAGTCAGTTTTTGATTGAATTTAGAAACTAGTGGTTTAACAGCAGATAAATATAAAAATAACCAGCCATATAATGTATGTAAGAAGATGGCTATAAAGGCAGAATAGAAGATCGTTTCACAAGTTTTACCTTACAATTTTTAAAAAAATTATTCTACCTTACTTTAAAATGAAAATTTTTGACAAATGTTTTGAAAGCCTAAAATGCAATAATTTATATTGTACAGATATGCTTGCTGCTGAATTTTTTAATCAAAGACAATCCATTATAGTGGTAAAACCTTTTAGGGTACAAGCTGAGGAGGTAAAGCATGTTGGGCAATAATGGTTTATTTTGTAGATGCAAATACACTGTTCATTTCAGCCTATCAACTCATTGGTGGCAGTTGAGAAACTGCCTCAGGGTGTGGGAAGAATAGGGAAGTGTTCTTTTCCTTTCTATCAAATTATTTTGCTCTCTTTAATGAAGGGTTAGAGAAACAAAACTGAAAAAAACCTTCTATTTTTAAAGTATGAATGGTAAAAGAGAGTAGGTTTGGTTTCTTCATGAAGGAAGAAAACTACCTCAATTTAAAACATGGAATATCACTGGATAACAAAAGAATTTCTCTGTTCAACCTCTTCGTAATTAGTTTAATTCAGTTTTATTTTCCTTCATGGGAGTCTGCTAAACATCATGAGTAAAAAAAAGTTAGTAACTTAAAAAGTGTTATACTTCTTTCCAACTTCAACACATTAAAATATGTAGATTTTGGGAATTTGAGTAAATTATTTTAGGATATGCTCTGGCCGAGATAAATGTCCATCAGTACAATACAAACTACTGATTAATAAAATGAGTGATGAGTTTAGTTAAAGGAGTGCAATAGCAAGTTTTAGTACCTGGCAGCTAGGGAAAATAAGTTGTGCTTTAAGGAAAATTAAATGCAATGTTAAATGCTAACCAAGGTAAAACATCAAGATGTTTAACTTAGGTTCTCTGCTTGCAAATTATGAACACAGATTAAAATTGGAGATGGGACTGAGCCATTCTGCTTACATGGAATATATGAGGTGCTAGTGAGTTCCTTTGGTGCTTCTTGAGCATTTACAGGTAAATAAGCCAACAGCTGTTCCAGCCAGCAGCGCTGCAGCTCTGATCACACAGGGCATCACGGCACACACGTGGTGTGGAGGAAGCGTTGCCTTTGGTCAGCTCGGATTTGTGGCACTTGAGAGGGTCTCAGGTTAATGTAGCCTTTGGGGATTTCAGAAATAAGTGAGTATTTTGTTTGCTGACCATGTGAAACTGTGGAGAGATCACTGGGAAGCTGGAGGGTCTTCGTAAGAAAGGAGATTTCAGTATTGTTCCTCCTGGAACACCTTTGTGTTATTTAATAATTGTAAAATACACCTCTGCAGCGATAAAATCTAGTACTGGTTATGCAAGAGGAATTTAAAGGTCCAGTCTTGTTAAACATAGAAGAGTCTCGTGTCATATTGCCAAGCCTTAGCATAAAGAAATGTCAGCTCTCTTCAAGTTTTACTAAAAGTTATACTTTTTCCCAGTGTATTGTTCCCTCTAGGAAAAGGATGTATGTGTGAATGAAAGAGTGAATAAAGAAGCATTCAGGTCATAAAGCTTGAATTACATTTTTTGCTGAAAAAATTGATATTGTCTTTTCATGCAAAATTTTATTCTCTAGCTGCAGCCTGGCATACAAATTTCTTGTTGTTTCTGAGTCTCTTCCTTATTTTTTTCATGTGGTTGCCACTGCTTTTTTTAACAAGCAGTTCACAGCATTGCTTTATGCACTGTTCTCTATTTGTTTCCTACTCTTGCCTCAGCAAAGAAAGATAAAAACAGTAAAGCTGTGAAAAATAGCTGTAATAAACCTTTCTTACTTTTTTGTGCTAGGTTCTTTTTTCTGTCTTCTCATGGTGACAAAGCATTTTCTTTATTGTACTCAAAAGAGTATATTTTTTGGAAAATATTTTTACAAGATCTGGGTAATGGTACTAATTTCACCACAGCAGGAAGCAGTATGCCACCTCTAACTCTGCTACCAGTCAGGCACTGAATACTGCTTTTAAAGCTGATGGCTGCAGCAGTGTACTGCAGCTGCCCCCCAGAAGAGAGACAACGGTGGGAAATAACAAGTCTTCCGTACTAGCACAAAACTAAATACACATGCAGGCAAATGGGATAGTCATTTAATGGGAGAAGCAATCTGGGAGGTAAAAGTGGAATGTTAGGCTTATTGAAACCATTTGAGATTTGTTTTTTAGAGGGTGCTTTTTTAATTCTGGATAATCTTCTTTGCTTTGGAAAAAGAACTTAATCTTGTGGATAATTTTTTTCTGAGCACACGAAGGTTGAGAAACTGGTGCACAATTTAGTAGTAAAAGACTTAGAAGAGAAATAACTGTGAACTTTTAGGTTACATTTCAAAGGCTGTCCTGCTATGAACAACATCCACATCACGTGTGCTGATAGGGTTGTGTGACCAAACAAACCTGGTGATGGACATTCAGAAGTTATTTGTAATTAAAGAGATACATGCCTCTTTGGAGTTCAGCAGTATGATCCTTTATTGTGGGTCTGCAGGTGGAAATGGTCCACAGTGAGCTTAGTTTTATAGTGAAAAATATTAGATATTGGGTTGTGAATAGTGAACAGTGCATGGGTCTGTTAATAACGGCACGGCTGAAGTTTTAGTGATGTAGCCCAGCAGCTGGTGAGCACCTGGATGAGAAGTACCAACCAGTTATGCTGTTGGGTCAGTAGCTACTTCAGTTGCTGGTGTGGTGAGTGAGACAGTGCAGATGTCTTGTGCTTGGAAAACCATGATCCTTCACGTGATAACTGACAAAGAACTCTTTAAGTCCCTGAGTTGAAAGCAGCGATGTCTGTGAGCTTGGACAGGAGGCTGACAGGAGAGGAGCTCCTTGATCAGGGCATGCCCAAGCATTCCCTGGTATTGTCCTCTAAGTATCACCATCTACCCATCACCACAGAGCCCAAAACTTCAGCAGACCTCTGAGAGCACTCCCACTTTCCATACATGGGAAGGGCAAGAAAAGGCAGGAGCAGGAAGGACATGGTCTGAGTGATACCAGGGGCATTCCAAGACCACTTGATATTTTTCTTTCCCTTTTCCCCACATCTTTGGCTCATGCACACCTATAAACACAAGACCACCCCATGTCTGAAGTGGGGGAAGTTGGGTTGCAGGCCAGGAGAAGGGACAGCTGAAAGTTTTTAAAACATTGTTTAGTTAACAGGATAAATATGTTTGTCTAAGAAAAATGGAAACCAGAAAATTACACCAAACCAAGACCAAACATTTGTCCAAAAGATTGCTAAAAACATCAGACAGCTACCTTACTGCCAATTGAAGTCCATCTTTGTGTGGCTGGTATAAATGAAGAGCTAGTTGGTAACTTAGGTTATAATTTCTGGTTGTGTACAAATATTTTGGAAATAGCATGCAATAATTACATGTAGGTCACTGCAATGCCACAGGATATTAGGCTTAAGTATCTTGTGTGAGTCAATGAAGCTTTCAACTGTAAAAATAGGGCAAATTTCTCACATCCCCCCTCTATACAGCCCAGGCAAACTTCCAAAAAGCAGTTTGATGTACCCAAATTATTTACT